ATTAATTCAGCTTAATAACGATAAACATATAATGAACTTTAAAAATTGATAAATTTGTTACCTTTCGAACAATACCAGCGATCCGATCAATACAAGGAGACCCATGCCAAAACAGAGGCAAAGTGAGGAGGCGGCTTGATGTGTTTCTCCACAAAGAGACTCATGTTGGGCATGATGCGTTTGATCACAATGAGACCTATGCCAGAATAGAGGCAAAGAAAAAAGGTGACGAAGTGTGAAACAATGTGGTTTTTTATCCTTGGCAATACGTTACTCAATCTTGCTGCCTTGGTAATGGTGAACAGTGGAGGAGGCAAAAAGCCATTGAAGGTGAGGAATTGAGGATGGAAAAGGAGATGGCTGTCCAGAAGAAGGTTGGATCGGGAAGAGAGACTATGGAAGGAGATAAAATGTTAAAAAGAGAGTTTTAGGGATTTAACCCTTAATTAAAAATTAGTGATAGGATACTGATAGAAATTTTGTTAGTAATCCAGCGATTGATTTTAAAACTAAAAAATAAAAAAAAGGTGGTATTCATTATTTTTTATTTATTTTTATTTAATTTTTCACAAAAATCATTTACTAACGGAATTATTCCATTGGTAAAGTACTTGTCGATTTTATTACCGATGGATAATTTCGTTGATATGTTCAATTCTAAAATTTTTTATTCACACCAAAAATTTGCTGACATCTTAGCAAAGGAATAAAGTCTGTCTGTGATTTTCGTTGGTAATCTGTTAATAATAAATTGATAATTTTATATTTTTCATTTTGTTGGTAATCTGTTGATATTTTATCGATAATTATTTATGAAAATTTTTCATCGATAAAATTCGATAAATAATAAGTACTGAGTAGTGAATAACAAACAAATTAAAAATTACAAAATATATTTCATAATCATATACTGACTGAAACAAGTTAATCCATCAAACTTAGTTGAAATCAACAAAAATAATTTGTATTACTAGTACAAAGTTTCATATGAAAAATCATCTTCAAATGTATCATATTTTGATATAATTAAAATGTATTGATCGATATAATCAGTATCAAAATAAAATTAATAATGCTTTTTATTTTTTTTTTTTAAATATTTAAGTGTAAAGTTTATGATAACTAAAATGTGGAAAGTCTTCCATGTTTAAAATGACAATGGGGAAGGGGAAATAAAGAATTTGTCTCTTAACAACCTTCTTCTGACCTTTCAAATTAAACCGGTGTTGGGCGTGAAGTAACAATGAAGTAATAATGTTTTGCTCCCATGCTTGATGCTTGGGATTCAGCCGATTGCGGATTAATCAAACTATCACATCGTTGCAAGACTTCTTTACGGTTCCAGCAATCCAAGACTCATTATTGTCGGGAAGCTTCTACTACCGTTTCAAATTCCCATTCTTAATTTTCTTACTTTTATCAATTCTTTTCCAAATTCATACATTATTACCAATTTTTCTGACGTAATGAATTGAATTTTTACAAGAATTTTTTTTATTTAGGTCAAATTTTAAAAATTTTTTATTCAAATTTATTTTTCAAAAGAGTAAAAAATATTATTCACTATAATTGTCGGGAAGTTTCTACCACCGTTTTAAAAGAATTTTTTACTTTTTTTTCCAAATTCATACATGAAATAATATCAGGATATATTATTAAAAATAAGAAAAAAAATTTTAAATAAAAAAATTAAAACTGAGTTCAAAACTTATTTTTCAAAAAAATAATAAATATATAATAATTTTTTATTTAAATTAAATTTAAAAATAAGATAACTTTACCTTTGAAATTCTAAAATACCATAAAAAAAGTGAATTTTTAATTTTGTAATTTTGAGTACCGTTAAAAATCTAACATTTTATCTCATAATCAAATTATCTTAAACTAAACATAAAAAATAAATATCATTATCAAAATTCTAGGAGAAAATTTTTTTGAAAATAAGATAGTTTTTTTTTTTTTTGAAATATTAAAATATCATAGATATAGGTGAATTTTTTATTTCACGAGTTTAAGTACTATTGAAATAAGATATTTTATTCTATAATCGTATTACTCTAAATCAAACGTGAGAAATAAATATCACCGTCAAAATTTCAAGAAAAAAAATTTATGAATTTTTTAAACCAAACACACTCTAAATAAATTATTATTATTACAATCATCATTAATTAGGATTAATAAAGTAAAAAAAGAAAACTATGGATTTCGATGTTTGACCCAATAACGGTTATTATTCATCCAAGGAGGAAGAAACAAGGTTCAAGATTCGAATACCCATTTCCCATGTGGACTTTGATCTTCTTAAGATACCAAAAACATTAACAAGTGAATTAATTTAGTTATCCCCTTAATACAAAAGTTAACAATAAATTATTGTTCACTATATAGGTTTAGGTGAAACAAGTAACATTTTGTATAATAAAAAATTAATAAATTGGCATGAATTTACTTTGTGAAATAATTATCTCTTATAGAAAATTTAAATTTATAATTAATGACAAGTACGTAGCCAAATGATAATTACTAGTAATTCTCTTAAATTCACAAATTTTTTGTATAATATATGAATTAATATAGGATGATTAATAAATTGAACCATTGAAAATAAAATTTAAGGATAAATTGACTCCACTGAAAAAAAAAAAAGGGGAAGCAACATAACATTGACTCCAATAAAATAAAATTTAGGGTAAATTGACTGCAATGGAAAAAATGAAAATTAACATAACACGCAATAAAATAATATAATTAATGAAATGTAGAGATAGTAATGTAGATATTATTATTTATTTATTAGATTTTTAATGTTAAAACTAGTTTTAATTTTGCCAGATTGCAAATATACAAATAATGTTTTAAAAAATATGGAAGAATTTGTTACTTAAACCAATAGAAGATGATCTGGTGAAAAGCTATTATATGTTTGAAAAATGAAAGAAAATAAGAGATTCGACAACAGAAAAACAAATAAAAAGTGTAACGATCCTGCTAAATAAAATTTTTAATTACGCCACTGATTAATGGACAATCCTAAACCATACCATTTGGTAGTCCAATATAATTTTCGAGTCAAGTCTTTCGGCAGTGACCAGGCCATGCATGTTGATTTTCCCTTGGCCTTTGCATACTTTTGTCGCTGTTTTATTTTCTTGGGTCGAAAATAGAAGTTGAATCAAGTATGTACTATAATTATTATATCAAGCTTAAGCTTCCAAGGTATCGACCGAACAGTGGAAGACCCCCAAGTCACACAATGAATTAAAAGTTGTTGGTGTAAATGCATTCGCATAGACTCAGTTTAAAAGCAACACTTACGAAAAGGAAATGGGAACTCAATTTTTGGATAGTCAAGTAAAGTACAAAAGAAATTGATTGGTATAAAAATTATATAAATAAAAAATATAAAAATAATATAATTTAAATTTTTAATAAAATTATAAATATATTTAATAAAATTAAATAAATTATATTTTATATTTTTATATGAATATAAATTTTAATATATAATTTTAATATAAAATATAATATAAATATAATATTTTATATGACATCACGACAATAATTGTCATATATGAAAAAAAGCTATAGTCATGTAAGGCCGCAATCTTTCCATTTGTAGAATTTTCCACACGTTTTTAGTGACTACGGCGTTGTATCTACGTAGTTTTTGGGTCAAAAGAAGGGTCCCAAACTGTGGGCTCAGGCTCTGGTTGTGAAGGGCTTGGGAGTGAACAGATATAGCAAAATATACCAACCCACTCATCTATGGAGCCTTCACTGTCGGCCATTTGACAATATTCTTTGGTCTTATATAGGATATTTGTAGTGCAAAAGCAGGAATTCAATCAAATCCCACCCCCCCACCCTACAGCAGCCGACCTGACAATGGTGATTGCCAAACACTGGAGACACCACCCCAAATGGGTTTGAAGTACATGCCCCCTTTTATTCCCTTATACGTTGTCCTTTGCCCTGGACAATACCATCAACAGAAACAATAAACTGAACTAAAAGTTTCCCTGAGGGCCCTCCCAACCCTATTCAGAAAGTGCGTAAGAGTGTCAATGATTTGAAAGAAATTGGTATAATTTTTACCTTTCTAGCAGGCATATACTTCGAATTCACAAATTCAACAAGAAATGAAACATACCCCTAACCCCCCCCCCCCTTTTTTTTTGTTTTAATTTGGCTATTGCGGGAGAAGAATAAGAGGCTAATGGACAATAGCTTTTTTGGACTGATCAATAAACTATGGTGTTAAACAAGTGGCGCAATCGATAAGCCGTATAGCCACAGCGGACAATTTAAGGGTAGCAGAAGGCTATACATTAATCTTCCACCAAAAGAAACGTAAAAATTCCTTAGTGTCCAGACAATATTGATTGTCCTTGTACATTGCAAAAAGTGTCATGTATGAAAGTCCAATCTCCAATTTTGTCCTAATTATGATGAGGGAGAGCATATTATTTATAATAATTATATTATAATTAATTAATTAATTAAATTTTAAAATTATATAAAATCTATTAAAATATTATATAAAATTCATTCTTATAAATGATGGATCTTCACATAATTTTTTATTATGATTAAATAATTGTAATATTATAGTTATAATGCTATCAGTACATTAAGCTAGTAATTGTGTGCTACAGCTTCCACCTGAATACTTCACACGACAACACTTTTGACTCCTTTTTTTTTTTTTTAATCCTCATAGTTGATGCATATTTGTCTGCAAAATCCCTTGTTAGATTTCTAATGTGAATAGAAAATTTGGGTTGAAGACGTTTTGTGAGAAACATAAACAGAAAAAAAGAACCCAGTCATTAATCTCGAATCTTAGTTCACAAAGTAAATTTTTTTTCTTTCTGGCCCCTACTCTCCTGTGCACCTCAAAGGCGGTTCGGTCAATACGACATCTACGTGCTTACAAAAAAGTGGGTTATTCTTGGCTTAGTTGAATGCGTGTGAAGTTCGAAGCAAATTTGAAATCCACTATAAACCCCTCTACTCCACCCCTTGTACAACTCCCCCGCAAAACTCTCTCTCCTCTTCTGTCTTTCTCGCTCGATCCCTCTGAGCATTTCTAATAGAAAAAAGATGTGCCAGCTTACATCCTCTCATCACTCCTGCAAATGTGATTCAAAAGTTCCTTACCTTCTCTCAATCAAAGACTCGGAAGGGTCCAATATTTACGAACTGTTTATCCCCAAAAGTCCAACATCGAAACAAGAAGAAAGGTGCCACTTAACAATCCAGACCCAGAAGCTAGACAGGGCCCATTCTGTCCCTCTTGCAGTCAAGGAAGCCACTTCCATAGCTAAGATAGCTCTTCCTATGATACTGACGGGGCTCATGTTATACTGCCGCTCATTGATTTCCATGCTCTTTCTTGGCCGCCTCGGTGAGCTTGCCTTGGCAGGTGGTTCACTTGCCATTGGCTTTGCTAATATCAGCGGGTACTCTATTCTTTCAGGTCTTGCCATGGGAATGGAATCCATTTGTGGACAAGCCTTTGGCGCCAGAAAGTATACCCTTCTCGGGATCACGTTGCAAAGAACGGTGCTTTTGCTTTTGGTTTCCTCACTGCCCATTTCTCTTCTATGGATAAACATGAGGAGAATGCTCTTACTTTGTGGTCAGGATGAAACTCTAGCCACAGAAGCGCAATCCTATCTTATTTACTCTGTTCCTGACCTCTTAGCTCAGTCTCTTCTGCACCCATTAAGAATCTATCTTAGAACCCAATCCATAACTCTACCTTTAACATGTTGCGTCATTTTATCCATTCTTCTGCACATACCAATTAATTACCTTCTTGTGTCACACCTTAAATTAGGAATCAAGGGAGTTGCTCTTAGCGGAGTATGGACTAACTTCAATCTTATAGGCTCATTAATAATCTATATCCTCTATTTTGGAGTCCACAAAAAGACATGGGGAGGATTTTCGATGGAGTGCTTTAAAGAATGGAAATCGCTGTTGAATTTGGCCATTCCAAGCTGCATCTCAGTCTGCCTTGAATGGTGGTGGTACGAGATCATGATTCTTCTATGCGGGTTGTTGTTAAACCCCAAAGCTACTGTTGCTTCAATGGGCATTTTGATTCAAACAACATCGTTAATCTACATATTCCCATCTTCCCTAAGCTTCAGTGTATCAACAAGAGTTGGAAATGAACTCGGTGCAAACCAACCCACAAAGGCCAAACTCGCCGCCTTTGTAGGCCTTTATTGTGGCTTCATGCTGGGCTTTTCAGCACTTGTATTTGCGGTAATGGTTAGGAACATATGGGCTAGCATGTTTACAGATGATAAAGAGATCATAGCATTAACTTCTCTTGTTTTGCCTATAATCGGGTTGTGTGAACTTGGAAACTGCCCACAAACTACAGGTTGTGGAGTTCTAAGAGGCACAGCCAGGCCAAAAGAAGGAGCAAACATAAACCTTGGTTGCTTTTACCTCGTTGGTATGCCGGTGGCAGTATGGCTAGCTTTCTTTGCAGGATTTGATTTCAAGGGATTGTGGCTTGGACTATTGGCTGCCCAGGGCTCATGTATGCTGACCATGATGGTGGTCTTGGTTAGGACAAATTGGGATTTTGAGGCTGAAAAGGCCAAGGAGCTGACCGGATCTGTAGTGGTTGTTGATGACAGCAAAGAAGTTGGGCAACAGAAGCCACAGAAAGCAGAAATCAAGGAGGATTCTCTAGGCGATTCAGATCACTATTGCCTCGTTTAATTAATCTTTTCTGAGTTTTGTCTAACCTGTTACCTGCATAGCTTAAGCCGAAGGGAGGGATAAAAAAGGGAAGTTATTCAATTTTTATTTTCCTACAAGGGGCAAAGCTGTCATTTAGATTTATGCCACCCTCCATTCTCTGTACTGTACCCAGTTTTTAGAGTTATATACTAAACAAGTTCGAAAGGGAACTAGTAGCCAATTTGATTCAAAGTCTAATATTGTTTTATTTATTCTCTTGACTATGAAGACAGTTTTTCATTCTAAGTTTACAATCTGAAGAGCGAAACTTAAGTTTCCGACTCCCGACGCCAAAAATTTAGCAGCACATAACCGTCGACACCACTCATTCAGGCTTGCACAAAAGGAATGAATGTGTTAGTTTGGGTCCTTTTAATGTGTTTCATAAGGAAAAACAAAAAGTGTTTTCCTTGAATGAGTTTGAAGCTGTCCAAATTCAGCATAACCAGGCATGAAGAGTGCCAGGTGAGCTGCGACATCAACCAAATTTGAAAATCAAAATGAGGATTCTAGAAGACGTTTTTCTTAATTTGATCGCATGATACATGAGCAGAATTGCAGCCAAAAACATTTTCTACAACACAATAGGCAATGAGGCATGATTCATGTAAGTTTTAAAAGATTTGAAGCCACTTAATAGATAGAGCTTGATTCGGTCATTATGTGAAATTGATATTTGCATTTATTTGTGGGAACTCTTGGTAAAAAAGATTACGCTTGCTATAGAAAGTGTCTCACTCATACTATCAATGAGTTCTACAACGGGGTAACAATTATCATTAAGACTTCAACAATCCCATAGGCGAAAATTACAAGGAAATCACAATTAAAGCATGATTATAGGATGCCTTTTAGCTTTTGACCTAGTGACTTAAAAAATTAAGAAAACATGTAAGATGAGTGTTTGGAACCACCATCGCATCTCCTATCCCTTTAACAAAAAAAAAAAAAAAAAAAGCGCACGATTATAGGTTTAATTAGTTTATTGAGCTATGCGTACAAGGGCTGTGACTCCCCCGGAAAAAATCCCAAAAGGGTATATTTCTCAAAAGTATTGAAATGATACGATGTCGGGCTACCTTGTCATTTTTTATTAATAAGAAAAAGAAATTAGAGTAATCCAAAAATTTTTATGTAGCGCGTATCCAAATAGTAATTTTTGTTTATCACGAGATCTTGAAGTTTGTGTGGGTTTGCACTAGTGGATCTACTTTAATCCTCTAGTTTCTACATGAGAAATTTATCACGACGTTAACTAACCTTAACTTCGGAAAAGCTACAAAGAGTAAGAGAACAAAACATTAATTAGATTTGTTGTATGCAAGTACAGTAAATGTCTAAAACCTAAATTATCAGTTTGGAAAGTCCATGAGTCATACCACGTACGTATTACCCCATTTCAGACGGCCGGCAGCTGCCTAAAGGACTTAGTCAAATTGGCATTGGCATAACATATAACCATAACGTTAGAACATTGCGTTTAATTTGGATCAGATTTTAGATTCTAGTAATTTCTAAGTGTGTGTTTGATTCTAAGCTATTGAGAAGAACTAGTACTTTTTTATATATAAAAGAAGTGGTTACTTGCAGGATAGAAAAAAAAATTTTAAGTATTGAGATTTGAATGTTGGATTTATTATAGTATTTGTATGCATAAATTGAGTTAAATTTTATTTTTTTAACATGTAATTTTTTTATTAAAATGAGAGAGAGAGAGAGAGAAGGAAACTATGTATGCATGGAAGCCTTGAAAATGAGAGAATCTTTGAGGTGATAACCAAAGGAACATATGCGGATGCAGAGTGCAAGTGGCACAGGCGTAGACTCAACTTGCAGAATCATTTTAATGGAAGTCGATCCAACTCAGAGTGATGTTCAAGACTCTGATTAACAAAAAAAAAAAAAGAAGAAAGCTCCCACTTAAAAAGTTATGTTTCGTTGATGGATTAAAGTTGGGACCATGGGATGTAAAATCTTTGAATTTAAAAATCCATCTGTTGATTTGGAATTCTACAAAGTTTTTATGCTATTATTCCTTAACTTCATTGGACGGTGTTAAAATTAAAAACAATAATAACAGTTGACTACCGTTGATTTTAATTTGTTTAATTTTTCTTTATTTATTTACCTCAAGAGTCAAAAAAAGTCAACCCTGATTGAATAAAGCAAACAAAGCTTGGATTAGAATCGATTCTATTTGTTTGATTTCCTACTAGCAACCATTCCATCAGAAAGCACTAAAAATCTATTACGCTATTTCCATTTTAGCTTTCCAAGAATCTGATAAAATTGAAAAGTAGGTGATGTGATAATATGAGTGTGCTAAATTTAATTCGAATCAAACAGCCGATGACAGCAAGGATTTGAGAAAAAGGATTATGATGACAAAATGATTTTCGTCTAAGGCTTTAGTAGGTGATGTTCTGAAATCTTTAGATTTCAGGTTTCAACTCCCATTAAATGTTTGGATTTAGTACAATTAGATATTGGTTTGTTTTGTTTTTTCCTTGATTTATGTTAAAAATCAGTTTGTGACATGTACTATGCACATATTAATTTATTAAATTAAATATTATACACATAAAATTAGTATTCTTAATATGATTATGTCTAAGTTTTCAAAAAATATGAACTATATAAAAGTGATAGATATCCGACTTTCATTTCATAAGAAAATTAAATATTTTGAAAAAGGTCATAAAAAAATCTTAAAGATATGATTAACAAAATTATTGTTCAATAAAAAAATAAAATTAATTTTTTACTTAGTCAATTCTTCTTTTAATTTTCATCCTCTTTATCTTCTATAGTAATATACGCAAATTTAAAATTTTATATTAAATAAAAATAAATTTTATGTATTTAAAAAACTATAAATTGATATGTCAAAATAATGTAAATGATAACCTACTCCTCTATATATATATATATATATATATTCTTTTGCCTCGGCTTCAATAAATCTTAAATTTAGATATTTGCATGACTCACCAAAATCTAGGCTTACCAGATGGTCCAGCCTTAACATGTTAGATGCAAATTGCATGCTTGCAAAGAGTAAAGTGAAATATTATAAAAAAGAGCAAAGCGAAATAATTTTAAACTATTTCTAGATAATAATGCTAAAATTTAAACTAATATTTGAAAAAAAAAAACAAAAGATATTATTAAAAATAAGAAGTTACTTATTTTTTGAATTTCTTCAAATAGATACTAATTTATATTTTAGATAAAGTATCTTATGAATTTATTAACTATCAATTTTAAATTTGAAAATGGTGCATTTGATCCATAAAATGAAGTAATTAAGAGAAAAAATTATCAATTAATATATTAAATAATATAATATTAATCTTTTATGAATAAAAAAGCAATTGATACTTATAAATCTAATTTATCTATTCAAAGATTAATTTTTTAGTATACTTGCATATATAATTAGTTGTTTTATATTAGATTTTTAAGAAATACTAAATTATATGTAGATATCTAATTTTGTCTGAATCAATTATTATATCTAAAAATTGTAATTTAATTTTTACATATTAAAAATTATATTATTTTACATATTTATATGTATTTATAATAATAATGATAGTAAAAAAAATAAAAAAGCAACAAAAATAAAAAAGTAAAAAAATAATTTCAACCTGTGCAACTGAAATCAAGCTATCCAATGCCAAACTATGACAAATTTTGCAATAAGGTTTTTGGTGGCTTTAAAAAATCATCCTCAATTCCAAATTTTTTGGGATTTGGATTCTTATTAAATCCTATAAATCCAGCCTCTAAATAGAGAGCAATTTATAAAGAGAAGCAATAGGTAGAAACCCAACCTACCATACTACAAAAATTTATCCAAGTCACACACACATAAACAACCAAAAATCCACAACCAAAGCCATCATAAAAAGCCTTTTTTTTTCTTTTAAAAAAAATTTCAGAAGGAAAAAAATCGAAAGTAAAAAAAAAGAACTCGATCTAAGCATTGTGAGATTTTTTTGAAAAACTAGTTGAAGGAAAGTATTTAAGGGGCTAAAAGGATCATTTTGGTTTTTTTAAGAAAATTTTGAAATTTTTTTAGGTCATTGAAATCTGAAAAATTTTGAATTTCTCAACTATTGGTTGAATTTTTTGATGATCGATTGAGTTTTCTAGTAGTCGATTGAATTTTTTTGCCACCAAAATTTGGAAAACTTTCAGATTCTAGGATTTGATTAAATTTTTTAGCACTGATTAAAGTTTCTAGTGATGGTAGTTAGTGACCAATTGAAAATTAGGTAAGCATGGAGGTCGGTGAGGGGGTTTTGAATTTTGAAGAGAGAGCCCGAGGGAAGAGAGAAAAAATAAAAAATAAAGATTCAGGCGTGTAATAGGCTACCAAAATGACATCATTTTGGGCATTCTTAACCTGTAGGCAAATCCGCTAAATCTATGTGTCAACTTGTGCTCTAACCTAATTTATATGTAAGTTTTCTGTTTTTTTTTTCTTTTTTAATTTTAATTTTTATATTTTTTTGTTTATTTTGTTATTTTATTAAAGAAAATAAATAAATCATTATTTTTTTCGAAGGAAATAAGTAATAATCTTAATAAAAATATAAAATCAAAATAAATAGTGATTTTTAGTAAAATTTAATGAAAATAAAAATGTTTAACTTTTTTTAAGGAAAATTGAAAGAGTACTTTTTTTTTCTTAACAACTTAAGTAAAATATTTTTTGAACTTCACCTAAATGTTAGAATAATTTAAGAAATTACTTTTATAAAAAAATTCTGCAAATAATAAATGATTAAGAAAAATAATGAATTATTTGGATAAATCTTTTAAAATATAATTTTTAAAAAAAATTGAAAGAGTTTAGTTTTCTTTAATTAGTGCAAGTAAAATTATTTTTTGATTTTGCCAATGAGTTGAAATAATTTAAAATTTATTTTTGTTGAAATAAAAATTTATTTAAATGACTAAAATAAATAAATAAATAACTAAAAAAATAAATAAATGTGTTTATTTGATTAAATCATTTGGGTGAAAATTTTTAAGGAAATTTGAAAAAATCTTATTTTCCTTAATTATAATTAAGAAAAAATAATTTTTTGGAATTTCACCAAAAAATTTAAATAATCCTAAACCAATTTTACAAAAAAAAAAAAACTTTATTTGAATAATCATCAAGTAATAATTATAATAATTTAAAAATAATAATAACAAAACATTTATAATTACTTTATAATGATGTAAATTAAATATGTAATTTGTGAATAAAAAAATCTCATGACGAAATATTGAGAATTTTATGAAGAGTCAACTTTTCTAAAAAATTTTTTAAATGAAGATATTTTCTGTAAATTTTGCTAAAGCATTGAAGAATTTATAAAGTACATAAACAATAAATTTTATTAAAAAAAACTTTTTCCCATGAATAAATTTTTAGAGAATTAAGTCTAAATATTGAAAAGACCATATCATATTTAATTAAAAGATAATATATGTTTAATTGGTACTGTTCTTTGAACATGCGATGTGTGGATGCTAATACTTTATTTACTCATAACTATACTCTCGGACTCAACCCTGATTTCACAGACC